AACAAAATGTTAAATTGGGTGTGGTGATACACACCTTTAATCTCAGCACTTGGAAGGCAAAGGCAAGCAAAACTTAGTGTTCAAGGCCAGCCTGGCCTACATAATGAGTTCCAAGCCATCTGGGCTACAGAGAGGCCCTGTCTCAAACACACACACACACACACACACACACACACACACACACACAAAAGTGTCAAGTGCTGAGAAAAAAACCTTGGACAATTATAAAGAGCCTTGTAAACCAATCTAAGGAAGTTAGAGATCAAAGTTTTACCCTTGGGATTTTAAGCAGAATAGTAACATGACCAGACTCACATTTCAGAAAAGTGATTGTAGTTGCAGTGGCAGTGTACAGAATAAACTAGGGGGAGGCAAGCTGGTAAGTTAGAAAACTGTCACACAATTCCAGGTGAGGGGAGATGGTGGTCTATGCCTAGGCAAGGAAAACTAGAAAGATTAGCTAGAGAGAAGATGAATAGAAGGAAAGGTAACATGCTGAGCAGAGAAACCCAAGACCAAGAGAATGAATAACTGCTAGGATTCATAGCTGGTATTTCCTTGTAGGGCTGGGGCATAGCCAAATGGCAGAGCATATCCTTGGCATCACACAGGGTCTTGGATTTGATCCCTAGCACAAAAAGTTATTATCACTATTATCATTAATTATTAAACCTCCTGTCCTTCCTTAATGAGGATGTTCACAATATTTCATTTCCATGTGCTGAAAATATTCTTTAATACGTTTACATTTATTTATTTGTTTTTGTTTTTTTTTAATTGGAGGTGCACATGCCTCAGTGCACATGTGGAGGTCGGAGGACAACTTTTGAGAGTCGGTTCTTTCCTTCCACCATGTAGATCCAGGAAATCAAACTTGGGTTGTCAGGCTTGACAGCCAGGGTCTTTACCCACTGTAAGCCATCTCATCAGACCCTATTCTTCATTCTTTAACAACAAACCAGAATGTTGTCTCTCCTATTAAACTTGTTGAATATTTTCCAAATGCTGTCAGTCAAAAATTCTCTCCCTTCTCTGAATCCCCATGGCAGTTTATATGTACATCTTGCTTTCAATTTTCTCTTAATAACTATTTATTTCAAAACATTAAAGCCAGGTGTGGTGAAGCGCGCCTGTAATGTTGCAACATTTGCAAAGTATAGGCAGGAAGATCAGCAGTCCAAGGTAATCTTCAGCTACATAGTGATTTTCAGGCCAGCCTGGCTTCAGGAAGCCCTGTTTAAAATTAAAATCAAACTAAATAAATCAAAGTAACTGGGTATGATAACATAAACTTGTAACCTCAACACTTAGGAAGTAGAGGCATTATGGTTCAAGATTATCCTTGACTACATATAGCGAGTTTGAGGCCAGCCTGGGCTATACGAGACCTAGTCTACAACAATTTTACTATGGTGGAAAAAAGTTCTTTAATGACAGGATTTGTCTCTTTATTTTTACGTGTATGAGTGTTTTACCTGCATGTATATAAGTGCACCTGTGTGGAACAATGCCTGTGGATGCCAGAAGAAGGCATCAGATCCCCTGAACTGGAATTACAGACAGCCACTGTTTGAGTGCTAGGAACTGAACCAAGGTCCTCTGCAAGAGCAGCCAGTGCTCTTAACCACAGCCATCTCTCCAGCCCTGACAAGATTATCTTTTAAATCCAAATTATTTCTCTGAAACTCACTGAGTATAACTTTGATAAGGGGTCCCTTAGAAAATTCCTTTATGGAACCTATAATGCTCCCCCAAAGCCAATACCATAAACATTTCCTTGTACTAAGACTCTCTTGGTAAGATTAATAATTCCCCTACAGAGTTCAAAATCTACACTCTTTCTGTATAAAACAGGTTGAAATCTATTACAATAAAGCAGCATTTAATTCAGATGCCAATTACATTTAAAATATGAATTTAGGGTTGGGTTTTTATTTTCCTATTTTTCATCTTTCATTTTAGAAAGAAATCATCCATTGCTTCCGATCATACTTTGGGAAGCACTGAAGCTTGCTTACATTTTATCCATATTTCTAAGGATTCTACACAAAGACCCAATCATTTAGAGGAACTCAAACATTAACCTTCATTTAAACTGACTCAAATATGTTATGTGCCAAGTATACGAGGCAATGATTGAATATAAATTTTATATTGGGTGTCTTAAGGATGGGTGGGTAGCACATGCCTTTAATCCTAGCACTCAGGAGGAAGAGGCAGGTGATCTCTGTGAGTTCAAGACTAGTCTGGACTACACAACAAGTTCCACACCAGTCAGTGCTACACAATGACACCCTATCTCAAAATAACAAAACAAACAAACAAAAATGAGCTAGAGAGATGGCTCAGCATTTAAGAGTACTGGCTGTTCTTGCAGAGGACCTGGGTTCAGTTCCCAGTACCCATATGGCAGCTAACAACCAGTTTACATGCACACATGCAGGCAAAATACTCACACACATAAAATAAAAATAAAACTTTAAAAATTAAAAAAATTAGTTTATGGAGCCAAAGTAGTACTGATGCACATCAGCAGTCTCTAATACAAAGATGTTATATTTTAGATGCATTCCTTTAGTATTTATCAAGTATTCATGTCAAGTACTGTGTCACACAATACAAAGAGAGAAATCAAGATACTAGTGCAGCGAGATGGCTCAGTGGGTAAAAGTACTTGCCAACAGGCCTGGCAACCTGAATTCAATGCTCAGGACCCATATAAAGGCGAGAGGAGAGAACTGACTCTTGAATGTTGTCCTCTAACCTCCAGACACATGCTGTGGTATGCACATACAGACACACAATTTTTTTTTAAAGTTACTGCCCTCCTGGGCCTCAGAGTCTAAACAAAGGAACAGCAGTACCAGACAAAATAGTACTGATGCCCCAGATTGACCAACTCTAGTCATCAGAACTGAAGGTAACTCTCACAGCAAAATTCTTCTTTCAAGTTCAAACCAACCATGATATCCTTGATAATGGTTACCAAGGGTCATGCATGAATCCTATAGTAACCAACATCCAAAACAATCAAAACCACTGCAGACAAAACCTGGTACCAACTCAGCCCTGAACTGTTTGCTTAGATCCATTTTAAACTCAAATTCCCAACCAGCCACAGTGGCTCATGTCTGTAATCCCAGCACACAGAAGACTGAAGCAGGAGGATTACCATGAATTCAAGGCCAACCTGGGCTACAGAGCAAGATTCTGTCTCAAAAAAACAAAAACAAAAGCAAAAACCCTAACTTTCCAAGCAGCAGCAGCAGCAGCAGTAGTGGGGGCGCGGGGGAGAATGCAACCAAGGACCTCATGAATGCTAGGCAAGTGCTTTACCCTATGCTATATTCCCATAGCTCCTGGCTCACTGTTTTACTTTGTGTCAGGGTCTCTAAATTCACTCTGTAGCACAAACAGGTTTTGAATTTGTGATCCTCCTGCCTCAGTCTCTTGACAGATGGAATTATATACCTACACCGATACTTCTTTTCATGGATTCAATTTATCCCTGCAATTTGATAACTAGTACTGCTTCTTTGATTCTAAATAGACTGAAGGAATTATGAGAGACCCAGAAATGGCTATTCTCTGTACTTTCCTTCATTGTTTTTGTTTTGTTGTTGTTGTTGTTTTTGTTTGAGATAAGATGTCACTATGTAGACAAGGTTGGCCCCAGAACTACATAGCCCAGACCAGCCTCAAACTTCCAAATGCTAGAATTACAAGTATATGCTACCGTACCTCACTTCTCTGTACTCTTTAAAATGGCACCAATAGAAACTGGAGAGATGGCTCAGTGGTTAAGAGCACTGGCTGTGCTTGCAGAGGACCTGGGTTCAGTTCCCAGAACACACATGGCAGCTAACAACTATCAGTAACTCCAGTTCCAGGGATCCAACCCCCTCTTCTGGCCTACGTGGGTACTGCGCAACATGGGTGCACTTATAAACATGTAGGCAAAACACTTATACACATAAAAATAAAAATAAATTAATCAAGCTGGAGGTGGTGGTGCACACCTTTAATCCCAGCACTCTGGAGGCAGAGGCAGGCAGATCTCTGTGAGTTCGAGGCCAGCCTGATCTACATAGTGAGTTCCAGGCCAGCTGGGGCTATAGGGAGACCTTGTCTCAAAAAGACCAAAATCAATCAATCAATCAATCAATCAATCAAAAAAGTTTACAACGCCATCGATAATGTTTCCTACTTGGAAATGTTCTGTGGCCTAAGGCATAAGAAGAATGGGTAACTATTTAGGCCTGGACTTATTCTAAAATTTAATGATAAAATATGGGTGCTTAAGTTAGGCATGATGGAACATGCAGAAGGATCAGGATCATCTTTACCTACATAGCAAGCTCAAGGCCAGCTTGGGCTACATGAGACCCTGTCAGGGAATTTTAAAAAGTGGGTGCATTTCCTTACTTCTCTGCTTTGATCACTAGAAAGGAAAGCAGATAAAGAATCACAGCAGAAGGCCTGTCTTCAAATAGAAGGTGTATATTATCCTGAGGAATCTGCTGGATGTGTCTTTACTGGACTCCAAGCACAGAAAAAGGAATCTAGGAGAGGGGAG